AGACTGACCTCCAGTGAAGGCCACACAACCAAGAGTATTTGGGCAGCACAAACTGAACTAGAGAAGTTTGAGGGCAAGTGAAGAGGACATAGCTGGGTAGGTTGGGAAGGGGAAACAGATACAGGAGAGGTGAATATGATCAAGATATATTGCACAAAATTATCAAAGAACTAATAAAAATTAAAAAGTAGAGAAAAAAATCAATGTTGGGGAAAGCAGTTCATTGTCTTTAAGATGAGCCATTCATAAAATGCCATGGTGTGGCTAAAGTCTTTGCCATGGTGTTGCTAAGAGAGCCTTTTCTCCAGTTTCACAAACAACCCTTGACCTTCACTATCCACATCGTTATCAGCATTCCTTTGTTCGAAGAAGCTCTCACAAATGTCCCACATTAAGCTCTTCTTAGTATTTATTTGCTAAGATTTATTTTTAATCAAGAATATGTTTACAAGTGTGTGTATCTATGTGTGTGTGTGTTTGTATGAGTATGTACATGTGTATACATGTATATATAGCTGTATGAGTATGTGTAAGTCTGTGTGTGTGTATGTGTTTGCATGTTTGCATGTGTTGGTGCATGCACTAAACAGTGCTGTGGCCAAAAGCATCAGATCCCCTGAGGCTGGAGTTAAAAGTGGCTGTGGGATGCCTGTCCTGGGAACTTGGGAGATGAACTCAGATCCTTTAAAAGAGCAGTATGGATGAACTAAGGTCCTTTAAAGAGAAGTGTGTGCTATTAACCATGGAGCCATCTATCCTTCCCTTTTAATAGCATTTTAGGATTTCTCAACCTTGTCCATCCAGAACCCTCCATACTCTTCCCATAAATCAATCCCAAAGGCTCCCCCACCTCTTCAAGTGAATGATAGCAGCCCTCTCTTCAGTACCAACTTTCTGTACTTCTCAGCTAGTCAACTAGGTGATAAAGAGAAAAGGATTGTGCCTACATAGTTCTGAAGCTGTGCAGGTGTCCAGCCTTACATGGGTGTCCTGATGCTTTGGGCCTCTACTAATGATGCCAGATGGTGATGTGTGGAGTAACTGCTTATACCAGGAGCCAAAAGGCAGAGGGAGAGGGAGGATGGGCCAGTGTTCCATAAGCACCCTTCCAGGGTGTGGTGGCTAATCTTGGTTGTCAACTTGACTGAATCTGGAGTCAACTAAAACCCAAGCCACTGGGCAACCCTGTGAGGGACTCTTTGAATGGAATATTTGAGGAGAGAGAACTACTCTAAAAATAAATCTTGGCCACACTGTCTGGTGGCAGCCCACATACAAGGACACGGAAGAGTTTTTCTTTTTTGCCTGCCTTCCCTCACTCTCCACATCAAATTCATCTGTTCTGCTGCTGAGACATTCCTCTGTGTACTGAAGACCAGCCACTCTTTAGGAACCAAGCTGGACTCCAGCACCAGGTTGGGATTCTGAGTTGTCCAGTCTTGTGCACTAAACAACTGAGAGCTTCTTTGCATCAGAAGACAGCCACTGATGAACCACCCAGACCATAAGCCACTCAAACAAAACGCCTCTAAATATATGAGTTTCTTTCTGAAATATGTATAGGGAATGCCATCAATGACCCAAGGACCTCCAATTCTGCCACCTCCTAAAGATTGCAACACCTTGAAAACACCACTATAGGGATCAAGACCTTAACACATGGCCTATGGGGACACTACCCATATTCAAACTGTAACTTCATTTTCTTATCCTCTCTAGACTGGTTGTGCTTTAAAAATATTATCCAATGACTATCCTTTCTGGTGTTTAAGCCTCTGTGCAGTTTCCTCGGTGTGTGTGTGTGTGTGTGTGTGTGTGTGTGTGTGTGTGTGTGTGTCTGTGTCTGTGTGTGTATGTGCATTAGTGCAGATACATATAGAGGTCAATGTCATTCTTCAGTAGCCACCTATTTGTTTTGTGAGACAGGATTTTTCACAAACCAGTGATTCACTAATTAGGTTAGGCTAGCTATACAGAAAACTCCAGGGATCTTCCTGTTTCCATTTCCTTGGGGATAGGGTTACTTACGTACCAACATATCCAGGTTTTTTATGTGGGTGTTAGGGATTATCCTCCTTCAAAGGCTCTTGCCCACTGAGGCATCAGAAGCTAGAGAAATCCTGCCTCAGAAGAATGTGGAATGTGAGGACTCCTGAAAGTTGTCTTCTGAGGGCAAAGTGCACACACGTGCATGTCATACACACACACACACACACATACACACACACACACATACACACACACAGAGTACACACACACAATAGGCATGCACACACACACACTTTATTTCACCATTTATTCTTCTCACTCATTTTTTAATTTCATAGGTAAAGTATTTTCCCTTCCTAATAACAGGATGCTAGGCTAGAAGGTCCACAATCCAACGACTGCTGTTACCAGGGAAATTGCACAACTGAGAAGTTGCTAAGAGTTGTGCTTCGCCTAAACCAGAAGGCCAAGCGCTATGTAAAAGAGGCAGCAAATGTGACTCCAGCTGGTTTTCCCACAGAGGAATCTGGGTCAGAGTTCCCAGTTGTTTTTAAAAAGTTTATTATTTATTTATTTATTTAATGAAATCCAGTCTAAGGGGGTTATATTAATTGGACTTTGAATCACTGGGACACAATAAGGGGACCTCATTTTGGCTCACTGTTTCAGAGGTGTTAGTTCATCATGGTGAGGAGGAAGTGGTCAGGGAGCAGAGAAAGAGACACAGAAAGAAAGCCAGGGCAGGCTTCTCCCACCTGTGACCTTCCTCCCACTAGTCCCTGCATCCTGTTGTTCCTCTATCTCAAAATCATCCTTACATTTTGAATCCATCAATGGATGATGCCATTATTAAGTCAGAGCCTCCTGGTCTGATTGAAATGCTACACCATGCCGTCTGCCTTACTAATCCCTTAGATATTCATTTTACTCTGTGTGTGTGTTGCCTATATATACATGTGTGCACTGTGGGTGTGCCTAGTGCCTCCAGAAACTGGAGTTCCATATGTTTGAGAGCTGCCATGTGGGTGCTGGGAAATGAACTCAGGTCCTCTGGAAGAGCAGTCAGTGCTCTTAACCATGGAGCCATCTCAACAGCCCTCTCTTATGTGTTCATTAATCCAAAAGATTGAAACCAAGGTTAACCATCATAGGAATGTTGAGAGACAAAATGACAAGGTATGCTTAGAAACTAAATTGGCTTCCACTTGCATTCTAGTGTTGGACAGTATTTTATTCTAAAAATAATCTGAAGGCTCTCCTTCAGGGTGTTGGGGAACAGCTTGTTTATATAAGGAATCAGAATGGAAGTCATCAGGTAACTGTTAACATTGAAACAGAACAGCCACATCTGGGGTTGGGAGACAGGACTTTAAGAACAACTGTAGTTGAAGCCCCAGTGGAAAATTAATGTACCAGATCCACTGCAACAGTACAAAACCTATACTCTCAAACCAAGGCACACCTCTAGAATGCATACATGCTCCTGCTTAATTTTACACATTTACTTTAGCTTCATGTGATGGATTGTTTTGGTGACAACGTGCCACAAATTAGAATCAACTGAGTAGGGAGCCTCACTGGTTTGACTGTCTTAATTTATATGAAAGAAGCTACCTTAAATGTGGGCAGAATTTTTGGTAATTACCCCCCCCCATTAAAAAGGGGAAGGGGCAGAACAGAAGAAAGATTATTTTCCTTTAACTTGATTGGCCTTCCATTTTCCCCTTGCCACTGACCTTGCAGCTTCTGATTCCTTCCCTGATAGCAAAAACCAGTTATTTCCAAGTTTCCATTGTTAACAGAAGATTCTCCAGACACCTTCCAGGTTTTGGGTGCCACACTGGGACTTCTGAAGTACCCAGCCTTGTGGACAGACCATCTACCCGGCCATTTATTTTTTTCAGTGTGAGCCAGCCACTGTAGTCTGGATGGTGAGGTAACCAGCTTCCATGATGGAACAATTACTGGGCTATCAACCCCTCAGGTATTCGACAACTTATTATCTTAATATAAGCTGGTTTCATAGATTATTTATGTATGTCTTCATCTTTTCAGGTCTGTTTCTCTAGAGAACCCTGGAAAACACACTTATTAAATGAAATTTATAGAGGGTCATTATTTTGAACTAGGCTCTTGTCTCAGAGATCTAGGAGATTAGACCAAGCTGGAATGGAGTTCTTCATGCTCAAGCCACTTAATCAAACTGACTTTTGAAATACCCCACCCTTTACATAAAAAAAAAAGAAAAGAAAAGAAAAAGGACAACATCCAGTTAGAACAGGTAAATCCTCTCTGAATGCAACATCGAAAGCACCCATCTTTTTTTTTTTTTTTTTTTTTTTTTTTTTTTGGCCCTTTCTTCTAAGGTTCATTTCCTTTCGACTGATACAGCCAATCCCTACTGCTCACCTTCAGGGAGCTCTTGTATTTCATAGAATGCGTTGCTACGGCCTAGATTCTTGAGTCATAATTAGCCAATTTGATATTTAATTTGTTTTTGTTTTTGTTGTTTTTCTTCCTATCTATATCTTCATCTTGTCAGTATTGAAACATCTATGTAAAGCTGGTTCGGTCAGATCATAACCTTTTTCTTTTTTTAATCTTCATAAACAATTGCTTCTTTAATTTACCAAACTACACATATTCTTCAATTTCCAGATTTTATGCAGATGCTAACTCTTCAATGTTACATGAAAGGACTTGTTCCAGGGAGGCGAAAATAGCAGCAGATTGATGAATGTTAGAGCCACAAGCATGGGACAAATGCGTCTGCCATTAACTTCAAAGGAAACGTCATCGATCTTCCTTCAGGCCGAATGTCACGGGTCCTATGCACGAATCCCGTACACTTGCGTGGCGGGAAGAAAGTGGGCAGGAGAGCGCGCTCCAACCGAGAGCATTTAGAAGGGCGGCCCACAGCGCCAGGTTAGTCCCGGACCACTTGGCCGGGGGGGCGGGGCTCGCGAGCTGTGACCACGTGACCACGGAGGCCGAGCCGCTCCAGGTCGCGCGATCCGCCGTCACATCAGCTTATGGCGCAGGCTGCTGATTGGCGGGCTGCCTGCAGGTGGGCGGGGTTCTGCTGAGCGGGCGGTGTCTCCGGCTCTCCAGCTCCTGCCCCCGCTGGTGTAGCGGCGGCCGCAGACTGAACGGCTCCGGCCCTGCAGGTAGGTTTCCTGTATAGGCAGCTGGACACCCGCGAGTGGGAGGACCAGTGAGCTATCGCGAGGGATCCTCATTTTCCTGGGAATGGGAAAGCATCCTCCGCACAGGTGTGGCGGTCCCCGCTAGAGGCTCAGGTGGTTTGGGGTGGTGGCCGGGTGGGCACCTTGGGCCGAGGGGCCTGTAATATGGACAGGGCTATTACGGGGCAGAGAAGGACACCGACCCGGGAGAGCTGGGTCCCCGCCAGTGCTGGAGGTTGCCTGTTGTGGATCCTACATTCAGGGAGAGATGGGGAACGCTGGTGCTTTGCTTTGCGACGTGCTTCTCCGGGAGAAGAGATCAGGTTGAGGACCTGGGTCTGACAATTACTGTGACCTAGTGAAGGTGGTGGGCCAGTAGTCGCTTCGATTTTGAAAGTGCGTACTTAAGCAAAAAAAAAAAAAAAAAAAATGTACACTGGTTTCCCGGTTTTATTGCCAAGGTGGTCCAAGTGAAAACATGGCCTCATTGGAGAAGTTACCAGTTTGGAAAATTATTCCGGTCAAAACTTTGTGGGTTAGCTGAGCGCGTCACCATCAGTTGTTCTGTTAAAATGCTTGCTGATAACAGCCTTATGACCCTTTATTTATTACTGGGATTTTGTGTGAGTGTGTTCATTATGTAATATATAGTGTGAAGACCTCAGAATTCCTTATTCATATGTGTGATTTTAGAGAGGTAACAATATAGAGCACTAGGCTTTACATCACATCCACTACTTCTTACAAGGATATTTAAGTTATCCCTGCCTTCACTGTCCTGTATGCTAAGGTTATACAACATATACTTTATAGACCTGTGAGAGTTAGATGGGAGAACCTCTCCATTACCCCCCCCCCACACACACACATACACATGTGTAAAAGTCAGATGAGATGTGGTATGGGTAATCATAAGAGCTCAGGAGGCGGACGCAGGAAAATTGAAGTTCCAGGCTACATGGCAAAGACCCTGGGGTGGGGATGGGGGGTTAATAATATGCAGACTTTTAGAAAAATATATGAATGCTAGCCATTGTTTCTGTGCTTTTTCTTTTACTGAAGAAAAATAGTTTTAAGTCATCTAGGTGTAATACTGTATTTATTTACTTATCTATCTGATGCTGAGGAAGGAACCAAGGCTTTGGACATACTAGCCTGGAGAAATATCACTGAACTACAGCCCCCGCCTGTTTAATTGATAGTCATGTTTTGAAGGGAAAAAAAATGCTGTTTCTGCAAAGGCAGTATAAGATTTCATGTGAACTTTAGTTTCAAGCAGTAATGCCTGGTTAGCTGAGAGTCCACAGAGCCTCTGACTTTAAGGGATTTAACTCTTAAAGTTACATAAAAATTGTATGAACATGTGGGTGTTTTATTACTGTATACCAGTGAAATTGGATGTTTTTGAGTGATCGGGGGCATATATGATGGATATCAGAATACATTTAATGTAAATTAATTTTTCATGTCAAAGTTAAAGAAAACATTTGGGATTCATCCCATAAGCAAAGGGCTAAGCCTCTTAGTATATAAGATCCTAGCCGGGCGTGGTGCTACTTAGAAAGTTGTGGAGGGTGGATGGCTTGAGTAATGGACGTGGAGGGAGAGGAGGAGAGGTAGCAGAGATTTTTAATGAAGAAACTGAAACATCAAAGGGAAAGTGAACAAAGGGTAAGTATCCAGACTATCTACAGAAAAAGTGCAATTTATTACACTATATGAAGCTCTGCTCAGTATCAGTCAAGGTAGCTAGGAATTAAATATGCACCAAGAAGTCTTCTCTTTCCTATTGAGTTCAAGACACAGATCCCGGGGATTCTGGAGAAACAGGTACTGCCCTCCATCATTAGAGTACACACAAAGCAGTTCCATACCTATGGAGAGTAGCTGAGCAACCTGCCCCAGGTTACACACACAGTTTCTCCTTGAAAGCATCTTGCTTGTAAAAGTATACTTAATACTGGAGCAGTCACTGCCATAAAGCCTGAAAGCCCTGAGAACCAAACAATTGTTTTTGTTTTTGCCACAGGTTCAGCACTCGGACTCATCCGATGACAGGTTCTGACTGACGTACACCTGTTGTTTCTTGGGTTACATACCAGGTATTCCTGCCTGTGCCTTCTGGCAGTGTTTTGCTTTTCTGTTGTTTTGTTAACTTTTGACTTACTTCTGTGTGAAAATATCAGAAGTAGATGAAGAGAGCTTGCTGGGTGACAGTAGAGTTGAAACTGCTGTCAGTACTGCACTGGCCAATATTGAGGGTACTGCTGGTGTGTGGTTTCTGACACATCATCCTGAAACATAGTTGGGTAACTAATGCCACTCGTGACTTTTGGACTGGCAAAGAAAATAGTTGAATTTTAACTGGGAGTGACGACGACCAAAATATTGTCTAGGGGGGGAAAATGAAATACCATGCTTGACAGTAAAAAAGTAAATAGGTGTCACTAGTGGTTGCGTTGATCATGAAACCAGATGACATAAATGCAGAACGGTTAATGCAAATAGCAGCATTAAGAATGAATGAAAAGCTTAGAGATGGAGAACAGTGAAAGTTATCTGAAAGTCTGGTGAGATGTACATGGGAACTTTCCTTCTGCCTAGAAAACTCTTGCACATTCTCCTCCTTGACTTCATGTCAGCATTTTCTTTTTCTCCAGTGTATCTTCAAGACAGCCTTTCTCACCAAGCAATGTCATGCTTAGAAAAGCAAGTGTTTATATTATATACTGTCCCATACTTAGCATAGGCCTGGCCATCATAATGTCCTAGAATAGTTCATCCATAAAGAACTAGTCTCAAAATTGCTTACCGTGCAAAATAGTGTTGGTAGATCAGCATTAATAAATGTTTGGAGAGATGGCCTTCGCAGTTGCATAGGACCCAAGTTCAGTTCCCATCAGACAACTTACCATCACCTGTAACCCCAGCTCCAGGGGAGACAGAATCCTCTTCTGGCTTCTGCAGGTACCTGTGTTGTGGCATATATTTAGGCATACATATCCACATAAATTAAAATAAAAAGAAATCTTTAAAAAGAAATGTTTACCATGTGAGCAGGCAGTAATAAACCAGAAGGTAGTTGGAATATTTTTCTTTCTCTGTGTGCCTGTATGTGTGAGTGCATGTATGTGTATGTGAGTGCATGTGTGTGTGCATGTGAGGGTCAGAGAACAACTTCAATTGCTGTCCTTTGGTGCCTTCCATCTTGTGTTTGAGATAGAGTCTCTCAGTGACTTGAGATTCTCCTAGATAGACTGAGCTAGCCAACCAGGAAGTTCCAGAGTCCTCCTGTGTCTCCCTCCCATCTTGTCTTCAGTGGGATTATTTAGACACAAGCTACCATGCCCTGCTCTTCACATGGGTTCTGGGGTTCCAAATTCAGGCCCTTTGGTTTGCAAGGCAGGCACTTGGCTAACTATGCCATCTCCCCAGCCCAACTGAATGACATTCTAACACAAAAGACAGTGGTACTTAATCTCATCAGGCCATGGATAACTCAAGGGAGGCTACCCTGGAAGAAATGCTGCACATTGATCATGTTACTTCTGGTGGCATCATTGGGAAATGACTGGAAAGTTATTAAACAAGTATACCTGAGCATAGTATGACAGCATGAATGACTATGTTGTGAACCTTTATGGGAAAATTGCTAAAGCAATTTGTGGTAATAGCTAAACCTTAGGGTGATAAATAAGGGAGAAGAAATCTTACTAAAGGTATCTTGCTATGTTGCTCCAACGCTTGGGAATCCTGACCTTACCATGTGATTAATATCTAAATTTTTTTTTTTTTTCCGAGACAGGGTTTCTCTGTATTGCTTTGGAGCCTGTCCTGGCCTCGAACTCACAGAGATCTGCCTGCCTCTGCCTCCCGAGTGTTGGAACTAAAGGCGTGAGCCACCAACGCCTGGTGATTAATATCTAATTTGAACACTGTATGTCATGAAGAAGTCAGTCTAGGGATGACCTAATCAGTACTCTCTTCTGCTGCCAAAGGTGGCACCTGGGGAAACTGGTGGCCAGGTCTGAGCTGCATGAAGCTGTTCTTAGTCCAAAAACTGTACATAGAGCTTTTCTGAAACATTGTAGAGATGTGAGGAGTGAATTGCTACACACTTGTCCTGCAGGGGCTGCGATGGACCTGGTTCTCAACATTGCCGATCACTACTTCTTTACTCCATATGTATACCCAGCCACGTGGCCAGAGGACAACATCATCCGACAAACTATTAGTCTCCTAATTGTCACAAACCTGGGTGCTTATATCCTCTACTTCTTCTGTGCAACCCTGAGCTATTATTTTGTCTATGATCATTCATTAATGAAACATCCACAGTTTTTAAAGGTAAGAGATTTTCTAGCTTCTGTTACTTTAAATAATAATGCTATAATGTACTTGTGAATTTTTCAGTTAAACTGGTCGTATGTAAATAGAGCTTTTGAAAACAGCCCCCTGAAAGGGTTGGATATTTTTATAAGGGTTAATCACCTCTTTCCTTTGTGTATTCTAAATAATACGTGGATCTTGTTTTCTGTTAGCCTGGAAATCTTACTTCCCCATGTATATAGATGAGAATTACTTTACTGATATTGATGAATAAATGCATGTGTGTAGTTATTGTGCTTATGTAAATGTTTTACTCTCTGGCTTTTGGCAGCTGAAAGGTATTTTTACCATGTGTGTTTTTCCATGGCTGAGCTGAGGATTCAAGTCCAGCAACTTGGAACTGTGACTGCCACTGGTATTTGTCAGATAGTCCCTAGACTGAAAGGAGCTGGGGAAGGAAGTTCATTTAAAGATTATTCCATAAATAGAAACAGCATACAGATTTGGTGAGAAAGGTGGACTTCAGAAGTGAAGGTACTTTGCTATTGCCTTTGGTAGATATAAAGGAACACTTTTCTCGTACTTTCCTGTGTATTAAAATTTCCACAGGAAAAGTTTGGAAGTCGGCTTTTTAGTATTTAAGTGGTCCCAGGAGAGTGTACTCAACAGCTAGGAGTGTATATTTCTTCTTCAGAGCACCCGAGTTTGGTACCCAGTACCCATGTTGATGGCTCACAACTTCCTGGAACACCAGCTCCCTGGCTGGGGTCTTCTGGCCTCTGCAGACATTGCACTCCCATGACATGCACATATTTACACACACACACACACACACACACACACACACACACACACACACAGAAGCACACACGTACATATATACATATTTAAAAATAAAATGTGAAATAAAATCTGAGGAAAAGAAAGAGAAACTTGAGGGCTAGGACTTTAGTTTGGTGGTAGAGTTCTTGCCTGACATGAGCCAGAGTCCAAGTACAGACAGAAAATATTTAAAAGTCCATCCCCAATCAACTTTATGGCAGTTTTGTTGGACAGATGTTGTGACTTTCAAATAACTGGAACTTTTATCTTCAGAATCAAGTCTCTCGAGAGATCATGTTCACGGTCAAGTCTTTGCCTTGGATAAGTATCCCCACCATTTCATTGTTCCTGCTGGAGTTGAGAGGTTACAGCAAGCTCTATGATGACATAGGAGACTTCCCAAGTGGTGAGCAGCTACTGGGAGGGTCTAAGTACAAGTTAGTAGAACCCTTTCTGTTGCTTGTTCTTTTGTTTTTTATTCATGTGTGTGCATGTATATTCATGCATGCAACAGGTCAGAGGGCTACCTCAAATGTCATCTTCAGGAATACTCTTTACCTCCTGGGAATTTTGTTGTTCATTTTTTGCACAGTGAGGGGAGAAGGTGTTTGGTGGGTTTTTTTTTTTTTTTAGACAAGTCCTCAGTAGGTAGCTCTGGCTGGCCTGGAGCTTACTTAAATAGAGCAAATACACAGAGATCTATCTGCTTGCCTCTTCTTCCCAAATGCTGGAGTTAAAGGCCCCGTCTAGACAGTTTTTCTCATTTTCCTGGAGTTTACCAGCTGGTCTAGACTAGCTGGCCAGCTAGCTCCAGTCTGTTTCTACCTCTTTACCTCGCCAATGTTGGGTTTCTAAATCCACATCCCCACATCCAGCATTTTTGTTGCTGTTGTTGTTGTTGGGGTTTTTTTTTTTTTTGGGTGGGGGTTTCCTAAGGATCAAACTCAGGTCCTCATGTTTGTGAGGCAAGCACTTTCCTGATTGAGCCATCTCCCCAGACTGCCTGCCTTCCTCCCTTCTCCCCTTTCCTTTTTTGCCTTCCTTACCCCATTTCCTCCCTTTTCCTTTTCTTCTTTCTGGACAGGGTCTGGCTACGTAGCCCAAGCTGGCTTTAAATTTGCAAAGTGGGCCTTCATGATTGTCATACGGTTAACTTTCTTTAAAGCACCAAGATGCCTTTTTCTTCTTTCTGCCAAACTTCCCAGGTGTTTGACTGTTGTGCTTTTTTTCCATTCCTGTCTCACCACATGTGGACTTTCTTAACTTCACTCTCATTTTTAAAGTCAGTTTTGGAAGACATGGTGCCTAAGGGAATACTGATCAGGATGGGCCCTTGTATTTATTTCAAACTGAAGGGAAAGTAATTTCAGTAATATGTGAGTTACTAAAAGTCACAGTAACTGCCCTGCTGCCTAGAAACTAGAGGCCATTTGTCATTTGTTCATATGTCTATCTTGACTTCCCTCTCATCTGTGCCTACCTACTTCCTTGATTACATGGCAGAAACGAAACACTGTGTATGCAGTTTGCATTCTGATGGTTTTAGTACATGTGGTCATTGTTTCATATCTGTAGATATATTCAAAGTATATTAGTTATAGTAGTTCATTGTGTCTCTGTCCAGAATTAAGAAATTGACTCCTACATTTAGAGCTTTAGATTTTCTATTTTTAAAGGTAGTCTTGCAGCGACATGACCTCTATGCAGTTTTGAAATTCCTTCAAGATCTGTTCCTGACATCCAGAATATAGGAAGGCAGAGTAGTGTTCATTGAGATTGACAGGTGCCAGCAGCACTTGGCAGCTCTGCCCCGTCTCATCCCACTGCTTTTCTTCAGCAACTCTGCAGAGTAGATCTTGTTGCTGGGCTGCTTTTAGGAGGAGCATATTAGGGAAGAAAGCATTGAGAACCTGCCTATGTGCTCAGCTAATAGATAGTGGGCTTAGGCTTGAACCCTAGCTTGCCGGATACCAGAACTGTGCTCTCAAAGTAGGAGGTGGTTAATTACAAGAGGCTTTGACAATGAATGAGCGAATGAGCAAAATCAGGAAGAGGGCATTCTAGATATGTTGGAACAGTGTGAGCCCGAGTCAGTGATAAGATGCCACAGGCACAGGGGGAGGTTGAGTGCATCAGCCTGATTGGAACAAAATCTCAGGAGGACGAGGCTGAAAATATTAAAAAAGGACTCACTATGGGATCTCTAGAGTGAAAGTATTTAGTGGAAAATTAAGCTCCAGGCAAGGAGGTAGTGCACAAAGATAGGATTTAAGAATGCTAATATAAAGAAAGCAGTAAGAATGTCCTTTCTCATAGACATCTTTGTAGTTTAATTAAGTAATACTTGTACTGGAAAGATAACTCAGCCGTTAAGAGGCCCTGAGTTCAGTTCCCAGCACCCACATTGGGTGGCTCACAACTGCTAGAAACTGTAGCCACAGGGGAACCAGAGCTTTCACATGCACAAGCACATGCGCATGCACACACATAATTCAGAATAATAAAGTTAGTAGCTGGGTGGTTGTGTATCCCTTTTATCCCAGTAGAGTCGGGCAGCTCTGAGTTTGAGTCCTCTGTAGTCTACAGAGTAAGTTCCAGGACAGCCAGAGCTACACAGAGAAAATCTGTATCAAAAAACAAATAAGCAAAACTAATAAAGTTAAGTCATAAAAAAGAAATGAAATATTTTATGGACAATTTTTATGTTTTTTTTTAATACCAGCTCAAAATTTAATTAAAATTACAAAATAGTGAAAGTTAGGCCATTCCAAGCTGTTAGGTGAGGGGAAGCAGAGATGGAAGCAGTTCTAGGTAGTGAAGGGAGATAACTCATGCTTGAGTGTAGATCCCCTTTGCATTTATGTGGACATGTGGAAAGGGAACACTAATTCTGGAGAGGAACTTTGACTCTTGTTCTGTGTGGTTTCTCTTAGGCTGGATTCATCTCATTGTTAGCGTGGTATCATTCCTGTTTTTCACAGACATGCTGATCTACTGGATTCACAGGGGCCTGCATCACAGACTGTTCTACAAGGTAGAGTCATTTAAAGGGGAAGATGTCACTCATCTCAGTATTATAAAGTCTGTACTCTAGAGTCTAAGATTTTCTCTTGCCTGTATTAAATGCCCAAGAAGCTCTTCAGGCCATTATTCATCATAGGGCCTGTATGTATGTATTTTATTTACCTTGGGGATAAAGAAGGAGTGACTTTGCCAGTTCCAGTTAGGGCATATCTGTACCTAGAGTGGAAGCTAAGTTCATACGTGGCTCTAACCATATCCTTTTCCTCCTCAGCGCATACATAAACCTCATCATATCTGGAAGATCCCCACTCCATTTGCAAGTCATGCTTTTCACCCTGTGGACGGCTTCCTCCAGAGTCTCCCTTACCATATATACCCCTTTGTCTTTCCACTACACAAGGTGGTCTACTTAGGTTTATATGTCTTGGTTAATGTCTGGACAATTTCCATTCACGATGGTGATTTTCGTGTCCCCCAGATGTTAAGGCCATATATTAACGGGTCAGCTCATCACACAGACCACCACTTGTTTTTTGACTATAACTATGGACAGTATTTCACATTGTGGGATAGAATTGGAGGCTCTTTTAAAAATCCTTCCTCCTTTGAAGGGAAAGGACCACTTACTTATGTGAGGAAGATGGCAGAAGGAGAATTCAACAGCCTAGCAGAAAATGGCTGTAAAAGTGAAAAATTGGGCAATGGAGAGTTTACAAAGACTAAGTAGGTTATTGTTCAGTTATTAAATACTTTAAATAAGGAAATAATCTACACAAAGCCAAGATACATAGCAACTAAGTGGTGTCATTTGAACGTCAGCATTGTGTGTCATGCTGAGGAGTAGTCCTGAGGATAAACTGAGGGAAGATGCTGGGAGCACCAAGATTGTAATCTCATGGCTAATGTGTCAGACATTGGTCCAGGGACAACTTGTATCTTTGCAGCCAGCAGATCTGCAGCCTGTACAGCCCCAACAACTTTAAATAAGATAGAAGATAAGCTATGGAAGAAGCTGGTCTGTGTCCTTTTGCCTTAATTCACTCATATTCATTAAGGGGGAAAAATCCATTGTGCTTAACAATACTGAGACTAGCCAAGAAATACTAATATGAAGATGGCTTCTGTTCAGGAGTGGCTGGCCTGCAGTGGTACTGGAGGACTTACAGGACTTTGTTCAAATAGGAACATCAGCCTGAACAATCTAATACATGAGTGGCTATGTATGTGATTTACATATGGCTGGTTAATAAGACTATATTATCTTCTTACACATAAGGCGCCTTACTCTTGGGGGCATTGTCAGATTTTAATAATGAATAAATAAATGGTAATTTTTTAAATGTCAGCTCTTCCATATTCAATCCAGATATGAGATTGTTTAACTAAAGATCTTGATACGTGTCATTTAAAACTACTGTTTAATAAATAAGCCTACAGACACGAACCTGGATAATGCTAAATGTAAACTTGGGGCACCTAGGTGGCACATCTCTGTTTAATAAAGTGGATGCACTGTACTTATGTATTTCCAGGTTATAAAGCTGACTTTTTAAATGAAGGGAATAATTGCCAAATACTTAAGTCTACCTGAGATACACTTTGAAACCTCATCCTTCATTTCTTCTCTCTCTTCCCACTGCCTCTGAAAAAAATAAATAAATAAAATTCACAAACACCCCCATGAAGAAGAGTGGGTGTTGTAAGATAATTGTATTGGTGTAAAGATATTCTATTGGCTATTTATGCAAAAACCAATAAAATTTAATCACGACTGCTATTAACATCTTAAATGTTATAGCACAAACTTTCCTTTGTTTAAATTAGTGTCACTGAAGACATGGAGGTGATGTGGGTTGTAAAACCTGAGAGCATCCCTGATATCCAGGGTCAGATTGATAGATGTGAGTGTTGCTATCAGGATCTGTCACTCAGCAAATCCTTTTCCATTTGCTAGTTGATATTATCAAGTGCTCTGAGGGAGTAGAAGTGGGAAGGGGCTCTGTGTAAGGATCTAGACTTCCTTTTTCCTGGAAGTATACCCACCAGGCCCAGGGTTCTGAATCCATAGACATTACTAAGATAAGGACTAATTGGCATGTTGGATGAATCCAATATCCAGCTCATAGCAGTGTAATGTGGATACAAAAGGATAATATATCAAGAAAGGACAAACCCCTCAAGTGGGATATCTCTGTCACCCATTCTCCCCAAGGCTCTGGGAACATCAAGGAAGAAGACAAGGCCAGGGAAGAATGCTGTAAGGCTGGACATGAGGGGCCATTGTGCAACTGTGTCCGTCTGCACGCCATCCAACCAGTGAACATTCAGCATGGATGGGGTGGAGGGGCTCATAAGTTCCCAGCTCTGACTGTGGGGCTATTGACAGTCGATGGCTGCTAGGAAGGGAGACTCAGCTTGCAGCAGTGCAATCTCTAAGTTGCTTTTGTGCCAATGGGTGGCCCTGTACCTCTGAGGCTAGTGGCAGCTCTGGTTGGACTGTGGCTTATACAGAAGAAGGAAAGAGGATATGAAATTGGGAGATGGAAGGGGGATGTCTGGGAGAAGTAGGGGGTGGGAAATGTAAGAGTGGATATGATCAAAATGCATTGTGTATGTATATGAAATAAAGATTAGCTAAATAAAATTTCAGAGCCGAACCTCGGGCGTTGCTGCTGGGAGCCTTGGAGTTGGGAAGAGTGAGTCACACACAGCAGGTGCCCTTTGCAGTTTGCTTTCCCCATTGCATAAGGGATGAGCCAGTGCTCCCAGTAGGGTCAAGGGCAGAGGATGGTGGCTTCTGCTTCCTGACTGCAGTGATGATCATTGTTGGTTTTCTGTCCTCATCGGGTAGGATGGTGGAGGAGGCCACTTTCCCCTTCACATTGGAGTGTGAAAAGCGTCTAGATGAGTTACAGGAGTGTGTGAATAAAATCAAAAGCAAGGTGTTGCTCATTGTGAATTCTCTTTAATGAGCTAATAGCTAGTGTTTTGTTGCTGTAGCATTCTTTTTTCAAAACATGTCATAAGGCAGTCTACAGTAAAATGTAAAGGAAAATAGAATCCTGCCCCCACCCCCAATAGAATAAACTTCTCAAGGGCAGGAAGTGTATGATCCAGTGTTAATGTTGTTACCATCAGGGCAGGGTTTGGTATCAAAAGAAAATATTCATAAAAACTTGTTTTAATGAATAATTTGCGATGATAGCGTTAAAAATAATTGTCTGGGAAGCAGGATGTAGCCTAACGGTAGAGTGCATGCTTGGCATGGATGAGGCCCTGAGCTTCATTCTTAGCCTAGCAAAAATGTTTTCTTCCTAAATCTCTATAAAGTCGAGTTGAAGATTTTTATTCTAAGTGCAGTAGACTTTTAACAGTCTATTGCAGTCTTTAACTGCTTTCTTTAACAGTGAGCGCCTAAGTTGAGCATATCAAATTCTCCTGAACATGTAACCATTTGTCTTTTTATAATGAGATTTTCTTAAATTTGGTAAGAGAGTTATTAACATGTTGATTCAGTCCCCTGGTCAGACTTGTGTTTGGGTACCTGGGCAGAGTCCCATCACTCAGATGTCACCACGGAACAGTGGTTACAGAAGTTAGTCATTTGACTTGAAGCCATCTGTGCCCTCTTGTGGAGCCAGCTTACATTATAGGTTTTTGTTAATCTCCATTATTTATGTCTATTTCTTTTAATGTTGTGATTTCATTCGGCCATTCATTTCGTGAAAAGTTGACCCCCTAACATGCTACTGAAGAAACCAATGGAAAATTAGTGTATATCCAACTAAGAAGGCAGGCTCTGTGCCCGTGGTTCCTGTCTGCTGCCCCAGCGGTATGCTGCTTGCTTTCCTGCAGTTCCATGCACCTGTAATTGTACAGTTCAGCCTTGACATTTATATACCAATGCCACCACCCCTAGGCAAGACAGAACATGTCCTTCACCAGGGCATGAATTGTCTCCCTCTGCAGTTCCCCCTGCCTCCCTCCCCCGCAACCCCAGCCTCAGATATCACTGATATCTGGGAATAAATTTTGTCTGTTCTAGAATTTCATGTAAATTAAATCAAATGAGATATATGAGATATACTCATGTGTTGAGCTTTTTTTTAAAGCTTAACATGTTTTTACACATGTTCTGTTGTATTTATCAATAGTTCATTCCTTTTAATTATGAGTACTATCCCTATAATGATTTTATACTAAATAATATACTACTATTGGCTACTCTGTGTATCTGTTGGTGGCTATTTGGGTTATTTACAATGTGGAAATATTTTGAATAAAGCTACTACAGACATTTGTGAATAGATCATTGTGTGGGCTTGTGTTTTTATTTCATTTTATTGTTGTTTTCTTTTTTTATTTTGTTTTCTGGAGAAAGGGTTTCTCTGGGTAGCCTTAGCTGTCCTTTCACTTCCTTAATGTCTTATTAGGAAAAAATGTTGTATTTAGGTTAATAGGAGCTTAACAGCCTCTGTCTTTCCTTGTTACTGCATTTCATGTTTGTCCTAAGACACCTTTACCTTCCCCAAAGTATGCCTGGACATCCTGGTACAGTTGGGTTGTTATTTGGGGCTTTTTGTTTTTTGACCAGATCTCACTGTGTGGCCCTCACCTTTTTTCCCTTCTTCGTGATGGTTCAAAGTCCAGTTTCATGGCTGTGACTAAGGTGAGGCACATTGTCCTCCGTTTGGGGTGTGACTTCAAGTGGACTGGTGAGCTCAGGAGTTTCAGTCCATGGTCATGTGGCTTTGTTTGGGCTCTGCTCAGGCAAAAGTTCATGCCAGGGAGCCTGTAGGGAGCAAAACTGCTCCCCTCACTGGCCTAAAAGCACAGAACAAATGCATTCATTTTAGTGACCAAAGGATTTAAGTTGTCAGTTATTTTCTGTAGATTTGATGCACTAGTTTTCAAAAAATTTGTTCCCTTTGTATAAAATACACACACACACACACACACACTAACTTGTTTGAACATTCCCCTTTTAACATGACAACATAGTTATAGTTCCTTAACTCATTATACTACTGATTGATGTTTCGTTTTGTATCTAATTTTTGATCAGTCTGAAAGGGATGTTTCTGGCTGTGTTTACCCATGTTGTATTGTGCAAGTTGACTGCACCATGGGCTCTGGATGCTTCACACAGGCGCTTTGCACAGTGCATGCCCATGCTGTGAGTGCCAGCAAACATGCTTGAAACACTTCAGGTCAGCGTCTAGCTGACTGTGCCTTATGAACCACAGTGTTTGCAAGGCATACAAAGCCTTCTGCTCTTACACATGATTGTCTATGGAAAGCAAAGACATTCAGTGTTTTTCTACTATCAGTCCTCAGCATGTGAATATCAAATTAGTATGTCTTTGGGTTGGCTTTTGTCAAAATGCCTGATTCAAAAGTTGCTGTTTGATATGCTGACTTGAGTCATAAAGATTGTGAAATGAATTGAATTTGGACTTGGGATTAGAGCAGAATACTAACAATTTCTGAAACGGCCCTGAATGTACTTGGACTGGGTATTCTGTGTTTATGATTGTAGAATCAAATGATCAGGGCTGAAGAACAGGCTCAGTGGCTGAGTGCTTACAGCTTTTCCAGAGGATCTGAGTTCGGCTCCCAGCATCTATGCTGGGTGACTCATAGCCATCTGTAACTCTAGCTTCAGGGAATCTGATACTGTTCTGGTCTCCTAAGCATATGTGGCATATGCTCATAGACACACACCCATGCACAAAAATAGAATCTGTAAATAAAATCAAAATATCAGCCAACTTTGTAACTTATCATAGATGCCTCTGGAATCAAATTTTCAGCTAAGATGTAATTTTCTATGTAAAAATAAATAGGTACACCCATGTCATTAGTATAAACATTTGCTTTCTTCTTCAATAAATGGAAAAAATTCTATCTAAACTAACAATTGTTCTAAACCAGCAATTGTGTTAAGTGAATTTCTTTATGGTATATTATCATCAGATACAAGGTTTGTGTGCCTATTTTATATGCCTGTAAACTCTAGGCCACATAAGGGTTCTCTGGTAGAAAGGGGCAACAAATTGAGAAGCTTGGCAAGTCCTGAGTTAGTTCACATCCTAAAGTGAGGTCAGTGCTATAAACAGCAGAAAACTAGCAGAGATCTGCCCCTCACCCGTTCCCTGCCCTCCCGAGAACCCACACTCTTCTCTGGAGGGTGAAACATTCAAGACACCATTCAGGAGGTAAGACCAGGTCTCCAGAACTAAGAAATAAAACTCCATTTCAGACTTTACTCAGAGTAAAACTAAGAGTGACATGTGCCCATGATCCTAGAACTAGGAAGATAGAGGCAGGAGGATCAGATCATCCTTCAAGATCATCCTTCACCATATAAGGTGTTTGTGGCTAACCTGGTATACATGAGACTCTATCTCAAATAATTAAAAACAAACAAACAAGAAACCAGCCAACACTCCAGATATATTGTGGAAGGAACACAAGCAGACTAAGGTTTCAGCTTCAAGATTCACTGATTTTTCTTAGTTGCTTATCTTTGGATTCATTAATTTTTCTCTCCCCCCTCCTAATTATTTTGCCTTTCAATTGTGGATTTCCCTCTTTTCTCCTTAAAATGTAGGCTCAGATCCCTGGTTTCTCTCTCTCTCTCTATCTCTCTCTCTCTCTCTCTCTTTCTCTCTCTCTCACTGCTTTTATAAATATAAATATTTGATGCAACGAAGTTCTCTCAGGACTGCTGTGGCTATGGTTCACACATTTTTGTTCTTGACTTGAGATTTCCATTTCAGTGGGATTTCTCTCTTCTCCCAGAGGTATAGTGGTCATGCTTTGCCTTCTCGTCTTGAGCCATGGCTATGGCTCCCACAGTGGCGTTCCTGGTGGTACCCTGAGGTCTCATGTGAGACTTAGGTGGACATGTGGCAGTGGCCTTCTTTAGATCTTGGGAAGATGAAGCTGCTTAGAAGACACCCCGATTGACTGCTGCTGTTGCCACATCACTTGGCTGGACCCTCCACACCACATTTCCTGTCTCATCCCCTCCAGCTTCTCCAAATTCTCGGCTTGTTCTGTAACACAATAACAGTGAAGGGTCCTGAGGTCTAAAGAGAATAGTCTCACCTCAAAGTTGAGGTTTACTGACGCCAGAGAGATGACTTGGGTTAAGAGTGCTTACTGTTCTTCCAGAGAACTGAAGTCCAGTTCCTGCCACTGAAGCCAGGCTACTTACAACTGCCTGTAACTTCAGCACTGGGGATCTGTGTGCACCTGCAAGAGAATGCTCACACACATATAAATAAAAAAGGTTAAAACAATTTGTATGTTGAGGCTTTCAGGGAATGATTAAGGATCTGTCCAACTAAACCCCAAGCTCCAACGTGTCTCAGGTTCATCTTTCCTTCCTGTCCTGCTCTTTGTCTCTGACAGCCAGGAGCTTTGACATGTCCTGCCCATCCTCACTGCTCTGATCCACACTGAGGAAGAATTTCACACTGAAACAGACTCCAGAGGTCAGCAACTTCAGAACTCTTCTTCCCAGTATTATGGGTTCTCTGACATGACTGAACTTAAAATCATCCAAACACTTTTCCTAAGTAGAAGGGATATTGGAAGTTCATGACAGGCAACAGCAAAACAATTGAAAGTCATCTATGGAGGAGGGCCTGTGAGATGTCTCCCTGGGTAAAGATGCTTGCTGCCAGGCATGGAGACCTGAGTTCTTTGTCTAGGATCTAAGGGGTGGGAGGAGAGAATCAACTCTCATGAGTTGGACCCCGAAAGACAGACAGACAGACACACATACACACAGAGAGAGTTGTTTTTTAAAATATCCTCTATAGATGTCTATAAAGTGCGTATAGGAAAATCTTTAGAGGAAAAAGTACATACTACATACAACACTTTAGTGGAAACAAAGTGACAAGGTTGGTTGGTTGCTCCTAAGTGTGCTAAGAAGCTTAAGCAAATAAATGATGAACCCATAAACTTTAACTCCTGGTTAAGGGCCTAGTTAAGACACTCCAAAGCTTTAGGAACTTTTCTAAACTAGACCCTTATCTCCTGTAGTTTACAAGCCCACGCTTTCAGAAAACTGTCTTTAAGTTAAGTTGGACTCTGATTTCACTGTATTTTTTGAACTAGAGCTATGACACTGGCTGGTGCAGTAGTTTGAATGAGATGGCCCCATTAAGTTGCATGTACTGGAATATTTTGTCCCCTGTTGGTAGCTATTTGGGTAGGCTTAGTAGGTATGGACTTGCTGGAGGAGGTATGCCTTGGGGTAGGCTCTAAAGTTGCAAGCTACTCAAGTCATTTTGAGCCAGCTCTCTCTGCCTCCTGTTTGTGGATCAAGAAGCGGGGTCTCAGAGGCAGACAGATCTCTGTGAGTTCGGGGCCAGCCTGGTCTCAGAAGTGGGGTCTCAGCCACTGCTCGTTATCATGCCTGCCTGCTGCCATGCACCCCAGTGTGATGGTGATAGATTCATCCTTCTGGAACTGTAAGCCCCAAATAAACTCTTCCTTTCATAAGTTGTCTTGGCCACAGTGTTTTATTATAGCAATAGAAACCCTGACCAATGCAGTTAGGAAGGGGTAAAATTTAAAAGTGGATAGAATGGTCTGACAAATTTATATGAAGCTGGGGGATCCTGCTCACTTTCCCTCAGTGAGAGATTCCATTGAAGAAACCATGTTTTGAGGTATTACTGTTTAGCCAAAGGAAACGTAGCGTAAAGTTGACATGAGTTCAGATATGGGTTCAATGTTCATGGTTAGGTACTGAGCATCTTCAACACTGTATGTAACTCCCGTGTCAAAGGCCCATTTTGTGTGACCATGCATCAGGACACATTGGTCTGATGAGAAGAGGAAACATCTATGTCATCTGACATCAACCCCAGTAAGTGACTGCCCTTGTTTCCATATTTAATCCACTAGCTAAGACATGTTTGCCTTTTAAAGATTCAAGTTCCCTTAGGGGATGAGGGTATTCAAACTCGGTTCAACTCTGAGCCTCTCTCCTTATGTGAAAATCCCCATGACAGTCATGGTGTGAATCACTAACATCTTAACCACTCATTGATAGTCTTTTATGGATTCACATCAGGAGAAATTCATGTAAGACCCTGGTGTTGCAAGCTCAATTTGCTGTTTGCAGAGGAGCAAACCATGGGAAAAGACTGGATTCACTCCTCAGTATAACACGATGAGCTCCTAAGCTTGACTGATGACCATTGAGAAGGCCAGTTCCTTGTAAAGAGATGATGGTTAAGATGTGTTGTCAACCTGATGGACTCTAAAATCACCTGAGCATGCCTG